ATTTTATATTAAATTGTTGCCTTTTATGTTTTGTTCTTGTTGTCAGTTCAAATTTGTTTTGGTGCACACTGACTGATTGCATCCCATTTGCACAATCAACATTGTCAAATATTTTGATCCATTCAAGTTATTTGAAAGTAATTTAGAACTCAAAATAACATTTAATAGCTTCCGAAATGATGTGTGGGCCAGTTAAATATTTGCACATTTTATCTCATTAGTAGTTTAATGTTTTATTTCATCTGGTTTCAGCTTTGTTTCTTCATTATCATAGATTTCTCAATTTAGTTGTTTTTTTCTTTGTTCTCTTTTTTTTCTGTTAGCTTCAACTTGTATTATATGATTACTACAGTCATGACTAAGAAAATAGCAGAAGAAAGAAGTTGCCTAAAACTCTGCTCTCTGATCCTTGGTATTATGGTGGTTGTTAAGATTTTAATTTGTTAAACAAGGCTTTACAAATGGATCATAAGCAGACTGATATTGAGGACTTAAAGGTAGTCATAAATGTATGTTGTCAAAATAAAATTTTTGACAATAAAGATCACAAATCCTCAACAAGTCACAATATTATCAGAGAGAATAAATAAAAATAGAAACAAGCAACATGAGCAGCTGTATGGGAACTTTGTAATAAACAGGATGATTTGGAAATAAAAAAAAACATACAAAAAGCTTTTCCTCTTGCTTTAAAATAGCACTTTGCTTTAAATATTGTAAAATTTAAACAGTGTGGTCAAAGGAAGCTGCAGCAGCCAAATTAGCCTCTCTTTCACTGTAAAGGTTGTTAAAGATATTTAGATTATGAGGGAATCAACTGAATTGATCGGGACTCTGATCCTATCCAAAGTGTGTCCAGAGAAAGGCGACACCACGATCTGATAATGGACCAAAGTAAAACATTACAATCAGGTATTCCATTCTATAACATGAATGGAAAGAGAGACCCAAAATAGACAAAAATAAAATTTTTCAATCAGCTGAAAATCCTCTGAACATTCATTTTATATTCTGTTTTGAATGAGTTAGAGAATGAGTTATTGTGCATTCAGAACTAAAACCAGTTGACCAAAGGTAGCAGGAGTTCTGATTTGGTTGCTAGGTAACTAGCTGGGTTTTGCTGGGTTGCTAGGTAACGGGCTGGCTAAACTGAGGTTACTAGGGGAGGGGCAGCGCCTGCTGATTTGTGACATTACATTTTTGAAATGGGTATTTTTTCCACATGAAAACAAAAATTAATTTAATGTTAAAAAAATGTTGTTTTTTTTTTAGTTTTTTTCTTTTTTAGTTTTTGAGTTGTTTTTAGGAGCAGTCAAGACCAAAATGGAAGCATAAAATTCAACAAATTCAACAAAATGTGAATTTTTCATATTAGATCCCTTTTAATGATTTCATTCTCATTCATTCATTTTTATAATGAATGAGAAAGGAATGCTTCAGATTCCTTTCTATGAAGCATGCCATTAGGTAATAATATATTTTCAACTAATAAGACTGATACAAATTACATATGATTTACAACAGCTCAATTTAATAATTTCACCATTTAGTGAGAGCCTATTCTTACTTTTCTATGCATATTTACACATATCTTGGATTTTCTCTTCTAGAGTTTTGCTCTGAGTTAATTATAGAGTTATCTTTGTTATCAGTCTGGTTGTTTTTGCCTCAGCAGCCCTGCAGTTTTGTTAACTAAAACTTATTAATGTCATCATCCACCTTCCTCTAGAGCTGTACCTGCCTTTCTCATCAGCACCACTTCAGATGACACTTTCTAAAAACACTGCTGCATGACACCAATAGTCTTACAACAACCCACTCTCCCAGAAGTGCCTTTGAATTGCTTCTTATTCTCATATGTATGTGCCTCACTTATAGGCCGGAATACATTTCTTTAAAGAAAATGACACTTCCAGCTGTTTTCTCAGTGGAAGCCTATGGCAAAGACATTGTGTGTGTGTGTGTGTGTGTTTTTTCCAGCACATAGCTTGAGCAGTTTTGCTGACATGATGAAAGGAGCTTCAGGCACAGCATATTCTAACCAAAGGAAGATATTTTATTAGGAAAATGTGTGAAAGATTTCCCTGCCAGCATAAAAATCTACTCTAAAAAAATCAACAGTGGTTCTTTGCTTTCATGTGCTTTTGGACCTCAATAGTTTCTACGTGCAAAAGAAAATTTAAGAACGCCTACAAGTTTCTATTGAATAGTCAGTGACACTTAAAAACTTCAGAAACACTTATACACAGATCGATAAGATCATAATCGTGCCTCTCCATTTGCTTCTGTTCACAGTGCTAGTAAGCCCTTCTGACCTAATTTCTCTAGCTGGAGTGATGGATAAAATAAAGCATTTAATTCAGATGTCTGGAGCTAACAGAATAGATGCTGACAAATGGGGGAAGCACTTGTCAGTCCATTAAAGTTTAATTTAAAAACGGTGTTAACGTTTAGATGGGTTTCAAGATGATGGAGGAGGATTTGCTTCAGAGATTCGTATCACTTCTGCTGTTTGGACTTTTGATTACACGGCTAAAGAAGTTTCCGCTGAATAGACAGCATTAGTGATGACAGTGTAAGTGAATAGATATGTTACATTTTGCTTTATAGCCTAAATTTATGGTAACTGACCACACTTTACCTCAGACTTCTTTTTGTTTTTAGAATAATTTAAATAATTTCTGGAACAACTGCATCTATAAGTTTGTAGACAGTCCCGTAAACCCTAAATTCAGTTTAGTGTGATTTATTTCCTAATTTGTTTGAAGTTCATCCAAAAATCAACTATGTTAAGCGTGCTTTAAATGTATTATCAAATCTACATGAGCAATCTGATAATATAGTTAACAACAAAGCAGCAGATGTATGTAGCTTTTAGCACCAACTTCTGTATCATCCTATTTCACATTTGTTTTTTTTCTTTGGTGATCATTTTGTGATGGTTTCTTCGTGTGTAAAGCTGATAACACTTTCCAGCTTTATCTCATCATCCACCCAATTAGGTACAATTTTTTTTCCCCCATTTTCTAAAGGAAAATCTGATGATTGGTTCAATTTCAAAGGCCGAAAGTAGAGCTGCAGTAATTACAGTTATCTGGTCAGATTCAGATTTCCTAAAGCTCAATCCTGCTGATTCTGACTCGTCTCCAACATCTGTAATCAGCAGCGGGGAGGAGCAGGGATCTGACAATAGACCTCTCCACTTCATGCTAAATTGTACTGGAGGAAGACATTGAACCCTCATACCTATTGATCCATCACATGTGACTGTGTGCATGAACGTGTATATGCATTATTGATTAATACCTTAGTCTTTGAAATCACCAGCAAGAGAGTGAAAATAGTTGCAGCGCAAGAAAAACCACTGATTTTCCCATTTTTAAAAATAAATTACATCTTTGAAAGACAGGTTTTATTTTTAAAAGATTATATAATTTACTAAAACCAGGTGAAGCTGTCAATGACATCTGTACACTTGTAAAAAAAAACAAAAAAACATTTAATCCTCAGAAGAAGAGGAAATAAGAGAGATCTGAAAGCACTATTGTTCTTAACACTGTTTTTCCAAGCATTGATTGGTTAAGAGGTGGTGCATTCACAGTCTCGATCTCTGATCTGGAAACCTTAGAGTCCCAGCATAACAGAGTGAGAGACACATGCACATAGTGAGTCAGGTTTGTGATACAAAAACATCTTGAACTAAAGATGAAATCACTCATCCAGCTCTGCAGGACAGGTCTCAATATTCATGACCTCATTTTGTCACTTGGAACTTTTGAAACAAAAAGGAAAAAAGCTGTTTTGGTCCTTCAGAAAAAATATTTTGTACAACATAAGCCCATCTGAAATTAAATTGAAGTGTTCCAAAAAATGAGGAAAGAGACAACAGATTGCCTTATAAAAATAGTAAAACGGATATACACGGACAGAAAATATACTAGTGTAGAAGAAAAGAAAGCATGAATAACAATGAAATAAACTAAGACTTCACAAACAAGGTCAAGACTGTGACCTTGTGAGTGTATGTTTTGATTTTGGTTCAGGGTTTAGTCACTAAATACTGATAAAATCACTGATAAAAATCCCGTAGCGCTTCAGAAGGAGAGTGTAAGCTTAAAGGTTATTCAAATTAGACATTTTAAAAAGACAAAGAGTGTATCAAATGATGGAAATAATTATAAATAATCGCATGAATATTAAAAATCATCCAAAAAAGATAGATTGTTTAAAGTCCAAGATAATATAAAAAGAAAGGAAGCTCATTACATGGTTAAAGTTCAGCTTTCCCCTATTTTTTTTTATATCTGATCCTTGGAACTATGAGCAAAATTTGGCTTAATCATGTCAGTGCTTGAGTTGAAGTATCTGGCTTTAGTAATTATTTAGGACGGAGCTTTGTTGGAGGCCCTTGAAAATTAAAGTCAAGATTGTAAAATCTGTCCTAAAATGAGTTTGTAACCAGACATTTCCATCTGTGTGGAGCACGAGAATAAACTGTTGGTGAAATAAACAATAAGTCTTAGTTATACAAAGAATTATGGTTCAAATCTTAAACAAAAAATGTTGCCTTTGTGAATTTAGTTGGGAAGTTATGCCTGTTTAAGCTGTGAGTTGTTTATTTTACAGCAAAGAAGTGACTACACCTGGTGACTTTATATAACATACAACTATGAAGCATGGGAACTTCTTTACAGACATAATATACATGAGATCCTGGAGCATCCATGTGCTTTGATGGGTAGTAAAAGTGTGGAAATTGCTGTTTCTGCTGAAATGTGACTTGCATCAGAGCTGCTGCATAGGAAGTATGTTTGTCACGTTGGCTGAGTGTGTAATAATTATATGTCAGCATACCATCATTATGTGGGATTATATATACAGCCTTACTGTCTCCGGAGCACTCTAGTACACTTTGTATCTGTTTTCTTGTGACATGAAGGAAATGCAGTGTGAAATCTGAGCTGGGAGTTGCATCGAGTAAAAAAAATAAATCCACTGAGTCACATCTTGTTTTGTACTTTCAGGTGTTCCTGCTGTGTTTGTCGCAATCTGGGCGATCGTCAGGGCAACGCTGGCAGACGCAAGGTGCACATACACAAATTGCACGAGTATTTATTTTGTCATTATTTGCATATTTTTGTCTTTGTCAAAATGAAAAGAGAAAAGACTGAACAATTAATTGTAATCAATGCAACAAGACAACCCACCTATTAGCAAGCATGAAAGAGACAAAAGGCGACAGCACAATTACAGTCTAATTCATGTGACATTTGAGTCACCCGTGAAATCCAATTATACTCGCTTAATTTAATATGCAACACCGTTATGAACAAAAGTAGACACACAATGCAACAGGTGGAGGCACTGGAAATAATTGCTGTGGAAAGATAAAGTTAAATCTTAGTACTTCTCCCATCAAATGTTTTGAGCAGTTGATGAAAAGAACATCCTTTCTACTGTTATTTACGGGGAGAAATTATTCTGCCTTGGCAATGTGAGTGCTTTTCAAAGACCGTTCCTTTTCTCTTCATTGAAATGAAAACACACACACAAAAAATCAAGAATCTGAGAGAAATTTCTGTCAAAAAGAAAGGAAATACTTTAGAAAGGAAAAAGAAAATACTGAAAAGTTGAGTTTGGATCTGATATACGGAACCAATTCACTACAAAGCGCTACCCACCTGCTTGCTGACACTCACTGGTAAAGATCTGCAAGAAGTCTTTCATTGAAAATAAATCTTTTATTGCGTTAACACATACACTCACACAAAGTTCAGAAAAATTCAACATTTAATTTATCATGAAAGCCAGTGTGTCATTTTTAACTTTTATTGATTTTGATTAATAATTAACCCAAATAAACTGAAGAGGAAAACCATTGTACCATCGCACATCAATCAGATGAATGTAACTTTATTTCCCACATTAATAAAAATGTTAATGTGGGACTGTGGTCGCTGTAAATAAAATATGAACAATTCACCTTGTGTAGCATGAATGCACAATCTCATAACTTCCTCCTGGTCATTATGGGCCTCAATGGTGCATCTCCTTGTGCGCAACCAAGTGTCTGCAGAGGCAGTTGTCATGAGTGTTTTGCCTCCAACAGATGACTTTTTATGGGGACTGTGATGTTGGTCTAAACCTCCCAAATAGTGGAAAGCATTGACCATGGTGTCCAGGTCTGAGAAGGTGCTCAGATGCTCTCATGTAAATTATTCTTTTGATTTTAGTAACCTGTATTCTGTGCATGAAGTTGAAAATGTCTGTGCATCTGCCCCTAGTGGTCAGGGGTGTGAATTGTACTCAGTCAAAATGGCAGATGGCCTTTTGATTTTTCCCTCACTGTTTTCAAAAACTAGGTAAAGACAGTCAATATTTGGTTAATGCAACCTCCGATATGGAAAGATATTGACCATTCATTTCAAGTCCAATCTTCAGGAACAATTTTTTTTTCTTCTTCTTCTTCTTTTATGGTGGTTGGCAAGTGACATATTGATGTGCATTACCACCATCTACTGTCCAGGAACTACTATGCTACAACTTTTTGAAGTGTCCCTTCTCCAGCACACCTGGATCAAATGAATGGCTGATTAGTAGGTCTGATTAGTAGCTCATTGGCAGAGCTGAATGCCAATGAGAGGACCAGGTGAGTCGCTACAGGGTTGCATTTAAATGTTGTGTGATAGTAGCTCTAGAGAACTGGATTTGGGCATTCCTGCTTTAGATAATCCTGCCCTGTACTTGATTGCTTCTCTTCGGTTCTCTGTGAAGGTTTTCTATAAGACTTAGGTCTGAGGACAGATATATCTCCTGGAAAAAGATTGATTTAGTCCGTTGAACCATATTTTTTTCTGTTGATTTTTCTTTGAGCTAACGCCACCAAATGTTTGTCTATAATTTCTTGAGATTTTAAACAGTTGATTATGCAATGTACTCTTATCTGTATGCAGTTGAAAAAGAAAAAAGCCCTCTAAATCAGAGATCCTCTGCTGTACTAATTAGTCGGCATGAAGTGCTTTTCACATTTGTGCCTTTTGCTTTACAGCAGACCAAACTGAAACGTTTGTGGCCAAAAATTCATATCTCAACATGTTTTTAGTCTTTTTACTCACAACAGACCAGATTGTTTTGTTTCAGTTAACTCAGCATGTTTGCATTGAATTTATTGGATAGAGAAGGTTTGGCATGTCCCCAAACAACCAGACATTCTTTCCTGTGCATAATCGCAAAATATATTTTATAGCCTAACATCTCTCCAATGTCGCATATTTACCCTCGGTAATGAAAAAAGGCATGGATTTATAAAATAGTTTAAAGATTTCCCAGAAAAATCAAAAGTGTGAAACTTGAGTATAAATACAAATTGCAGTTAAGAAAAGTGTTGCTTTAGCTGGTCTGTCTAAATTGCCCCTGGGAGTGAGAGAGTATGTTTGTTTGCCCTGCGTCTCTCTGCATTGCCCTGCGGTGTAATGTCAGCCTACCTTGGGTGATCCATGTCTCTCGCCCAAAGACTGCTGGAGATGAGCACCAGCTTCCTTGGGTCCCTGCAAAGAAAAGTGGGTTTGGATGGATGGATGAAATTTTGAGGGATGAATCTGATTAAACATTTTCTCTCCCTGCTGAATAAATCGAAAGGTTGCATGTTTCTAAATTTGTCTGTGTGAAATAATGCTGCTGATATAAAAGAGGAACTGATTATAAGGGTATTTACACATCTTTGTCATTCATGTCAATATGTGTTGCAGACACTGTATTGTCAGGTCCAGTGGATTTATATCTGGTGCACTTATCTGATAGATAATTAACTTTTTCATAGTATGTAACCAAAACAAAATATAATTTTAACCTTTACGTCAAAGTTATTTCACAGCTTAATTGTTTTCTTTTTATTTCATCATCAGGTGCTGGGAGTTGAGTGCTGGTAACATCAAATGGATTTACCAGGTTCCCATCTTGACAGCAATTGGGGTAAGTGTGAACAGCATTCATTTTTAAAAGGCATATGTTTGTCAGTTTTGTATGTAAAGGGGAAGAAAAAAAGGAGAGAAGATAGATTTGTTAGCCTGCAACATACATTCCACAAAGGTTAAAATTTGAAATATTGATTTCTCTGATCAGAAAAAAAATTCAACCATTCACTCATATATCCTCACAGAAGCCAAACCAGTCACTGACACTCCCTAAAATGGTAACATGTGACCTTTTTGTTGCCCTTCAAAGTTTAAAGTGGCATTTAAAGTGAAGGTCAGTATTGTAGAACTTGACAAAGATGATCTCTTATAATTGCAACTTGATTATTTTATAGATGACAATTCTTGAAGCGCTTCAAGAAATCGAAGGAGTCCATCTCAAGTTTGTCATTTTGCCCTCATCCACAGGTTCTCCCTGAAGTCCCTTGAGAAAATACAACATTTCTGTCCTAATTTTCTCTTATTAATAAATGTTTGAGGTTTTAAATAATTTTTTCTCCCACAATTCTGGTACTAAACTTTTCAGTAATTAACACGTTCTAAATTTTAAGCGTAATTATTTATTTTATTTTTTTTTGCATACAAATGTCCAGAACTGGAACCTTTTAATTGTGTTTCTGGTACACCTATAAATCTGATGCACATTTGACACTTGCTAATAACATCAGTGGACTATTTTGTTTTGTTTCAGAAAACAATGTGATGGGACTCTGGAAAAGACTATTGTTGTTTGCAAGTTGTGTTAAAAGGAGTTAGTGTGTCACTGAAGATATTCAAGCCTAAAACAAAACTAAATGCAAAATATGCTATGGAAGCACAGACGTCCCCGACTCTAATGTCAGCATCCATAGTCCACATATCTAAAGAAGCATTTTTCTGAAATATCTGATGATTGCATAACCTAAATAATGTCCAGTACTTAAAAGTCTGAGCTACATTTGTGGTTATGAAATAATTAAGCCTAAGACGAGCTGTCTCTGTAGAGTTTGTTGAACAAATTTATAATCTGTGGTTTTTCTAAAAAGACAACAAGAGTTTAATTATGCAGCAAAGAAATTTGGGAAAATTGGTAATTAGAAAGATTGGCTCAGACTGCCTTTTCTGTCATTTTGAGAATTTTTTCCAAACTTACTTTTTTCTTTTTTTCCTTTTTTTTTTAATTTCCAATAAATGTTGATATACATATAAAGGGTGTGTAAGAGATTATAAAGAATGTTTCCTCATGCATTATCCTACTGTCAAGGCCACTTTATACATCCTTGTATAATTAAGTTTCCATCAATTTGCAACTGTAAAAATCTCCTGTTGATTCTAATCAGTTGCTGCTTTTTATTAGCATATCCTGCTTCATTTAACTGATTTTTTTCACCCTGAAGACTCGTTAAGAAAGCGGACATCCTGGAAATGGACTACATCTCACTATAATCATTAGAAATCTGCTCCAGTAATCTTTGCTCATTGACACAGGAAATGTCTTATTATAAACCACCAAAGTGTATGACACTGGGTGAAAGGGCCATTAATAACATTGTGGTGTAGCTATAAGCACGATCACAGAAAAGCAGATTTTTGCTTCAAACAAGTGACTTGTTTTTATTCCAAGTGGTGCATTTTGTCCCTCGTGCTTGAATCTATTTTCTCTCGGTGCTCCCGTTTCCTCCCACAGTTCCGAAACCTACATGCTGAATTCTTTGGGGATTGCAAATTTGCCACAGCATGGATGTGTCTCTCTGATAAACCAACTGCTCTTATATAGCACATTTTATACAGTTTACCATTAATCCATTCACACACACACGCGCTTTCATCCCTTCTTTGTGTGTCGACTGTATTTGCACATTATCTTTGAGGTTTAGTGTCTTGCCCAAGGACACTTGAACATGTGAAACAGCTGGGGACTGAACTGCCACTCTTTTTTTTTATTAACAAACGTTTTGAGCTGGTGACCGACAGCTGAGCCTGCAAGCTGCCAAAAAGAGTATTTGGCTCTATTCTATGATAATACTTACAAAATGTCTATAAAGATGAAAGTTAAATAACTACTTTGAATTCAATTCTCTCAGCACATATGGTTAATTAGCCTGGCACAAAGCTTCAAAAGGAAAACCTCAATGTAGGTTATTCTAATTAGGAAGCTGTGACTGGGCCATTGACTGGATTAGTATGGCTATCTATATAGTGTTTATGTTGTTGAAGAACAAACAAATGTATCTAGGAAATTTCTTGCCTCCAACACATTCCTCTTTGCCACATGGATTTATCGTTTAACCATCAGAGGTAGAGTCAAAGGTTTTCGTTTCAGCAGGATAACTCAAATCTGTCCTTTGAAGACATTTTCTGATCAGAAGAGATCAATCGTTCATTTTTGGACAGATTTTTAACAAATTGTAATCCTAGAAACCAATACAACTACTTCATGCATGTTTTGTGGCTGTGCAATAAATTCATATTGTGTGACTTATATTTTCAACATATTATACAAGCTGAAACAATATTCCTATGCTAGAGGTTGAACTGGAGCTTTTTCTTCTATGCTTATCATTTACATCAGTTGATGGAGACTTGAGCTAACCAATAATAAAAAAAAAACTTAAAGGTTGTCAGGTGATGCCAACTTCATTTTGAAATGAGAACTATTTCTTTGTCATTTGTTGTATTATAATAATTCTACATTGGGGGGAAAAAAAATGGTTCTGATTAGTCACTGGAGGCCCAAACTTAAAGGTAAAGTGAAGCTTTATATTCTTTGTCAAGTTATGTTATTCACATTTGTCTGTACAAAGCGAAAGAATTAATTAGCATTTTTATTCTTTTATTTCAGTTTCATTGATCTTAAAATAATGCTGATGGTAATGAGCAGTAACTGAGTAGAAATTGCACTTCGTCCGTCCGTATGATTAGCAGCCTTTAAAATGACAAGGGTTTATTAGAGGTACAGCTCCTTGCACCGCATTAAGTAGAATGTCAGTAAAACTTTTATTCTGGTGTATAATCTTCACAGAGGAGGAGATTTGTTTGACCTCCATTTGATTTACATAATCACATCTTTAGAACATTTTTTCTAAAAAAAAAAAAAAGAAAATCTAATCACTCTTATTTCTTAGTTTGTGTCCCTAACATTTACGTCACAATTCAAAACGTTTTCTATTTTTTCTTCTCCCTTTTCAGCTCAACTTTATTTTGTTTGTGAACATTGTGCGAGTGCTGGCCACCAAGATTCGAGAGACAAACGCAGGGAGATACGACACCAGGAAGCAGTACAGGTTTGTAGTAAATTGACAAAAATTAGCTTATAAAACTTGCATTGTGTTGTATATCTGTACATTCGCTGTATGCACTTACACAAAAGTACTTCTAGAAAGGGAAATGTGATTTTTTCAAAAAAAAAAAAAAAATTCCTAAGAGGTATCAGAAGATGTCACTGTTATGTTTTTTTTTTGTTTGTTTTTTTCATTTTGTTTTTTTAAATATAAGGTGAACAAAATAATTTTGTGATTCTTGAAACTAACTCTTAATGCTAGGGATATTCCAATCAAGGCTTTTAGTTCCTAATACCTAGTCTTCTGAATGAATGTGAGTGACACTCTGCATTTTTAACTAAAATGATACTTTTTGAAATGATCTGCATCTTTGAGTAAATGAAAGATATAGTTTGCTTTTTCTTAAAGAGAAAACTGTTGGCACTCGGTGCAGAAAAGAGCAGCAACATTTCTAACCTGAGTGTTTCTTTGTGACAGACCCTTTATTGATTATGCATTCCTCTCTGTTAAGCTTTTCTATAATCACTTTATACTGATGAAATTTGCCCCAAACATGGAAACTTATTCAGTTTTTGCAGCCCAATTTTGTTGTTGCTGGAGTCTCCACGTCGACAGAGACAAACTTGGTACATTCTGTCCAAGATTTTTCTCCTGGAAAGAGACAGTCTTTTTTTAAACGAGTGATTTTGCCAGTAGATGTGATTTAAAAAAACAAAAAGTTACGTTTTGCATCACATTTGCAGCAGTTAATAAGTTTAGTCAAGATTTCTAGCTCACCTGTTCAGTGCAATTGAACATGTGAATGAGAGCAGTTGTTTTGGGTGAACGGAACTAAACGGATGTAAATAAGCTGACAAAGGTGGTGTGTGATGTTTCAGTGGAAATCATCTTACATCACCATAAATGCATGAGGCCTTTAATCCTTCATTCAGCTCTCTGGGGTAGTTTGTTTTGGACCTTGGGACCTTTGCTGAATGTCTTCCCTCTTACTATTTGCAAAAATAGGCAGTGACTTTTATCCTATTTAAAAAATGTCTCTGACCTACTGAAAATACAGACACTAGCAATGAGTTTAGACCAGAGATTCCCAAATTGTGGTGCGCGCACCCTAGGGGGGCGCCGTGCCATTGCAGGGGGTGCGCGGGAAGCCGTCTGGATGAAAAAAAAAAAAAAAACATGAACGCTGTATGCGCTCGATTTTTACCTTACAATGGCCAACTCTGTTATTCCTATGTCAATTTGATACAGTAGGGGCTTCTGCATTTCCCATATCTGTGTCCTCTGTCACTTTTATCAGCAGTTAAAACTGTTGAATCGGTTGTTAACGTGTCGTAACCTGTTTTTCCGAGCCGCCTTTCAACGCAACATGAGCACTACGACGCTCAGTGAAGGAGACCTGCTGCTGCTGTGCAGAGCTACGCAGGTGTGTTAGGATCATGGCAGCAAACCAGAAAAACACAAAGAACTTTTCACAGTTTTCCCTCCAAACTAACCGACTGAGTTGAGTAAAGCTGTTGGATGCAGGTAATGTTAGCTAAAAGATGACCAGCTAATATCAATACAGTACCTTAAGCTTAACAAGTAGCCTGTAAGCTACCGATGTTGTTGACTATGT